GTACTGGTTTGATTTGATTTGTTTCGGCTTATTTATCATGTCTGCTTGCTTGTAGGTTGTATCCATGTTTCGCGGCTGCAAAACGGAGGACATGCCACCCCACGTCTACTCGCTGGCCCAGACCGCCTACAGGAGTTTGGTTGAAACGCGACGCGATCAAAGTCTAATATTCATGGGCCGTTCTGGTTCTGGCAAGACCACAAGCTTTAAGCATGCGCTCAACTACTTGGCGTTGGCTGCTGGTATGTCTAGACACTGTTGTTGTTGTTGTTGTTGTTGTTGTTGTTGTTGTTGTTGTTGTCACAGCAGATATTTGCTGCTGTGGGTTGGCCCCGTTTGTGCCACACCAAAATCCAATCTGGCGTTCGATTAGCTCATTTGCATTTTGTGTTAAAACGCAGCTGCAATTTGTCAAGCCATTTCGCATTGTTCTATCATTGTAAAATGGTATAATTTAAATATATTATGACGTAGGTTATACCATATATGGCTAAGTCGGAACCAAGACTTATCAAATCGATCATGAATTGTCTATTGGGCTACATTTGTAGTTCATTTATTTGATTTTTCCGTTTTCTTGACAGCCTTTAAGCAAATTATGATTTTCAAAGATTAATATTGCCAGAATTAATGGTATTACAAGGAAATTTCGCTATGTACCCTTTTACTTGTAGCAATGTAATGAGTTATAAATGACTTATTCTTGAATATAAAATATTTTCTATTTGAAGCTCTTCTGATCGTTGTGCTATTTTCCGTATCTGGAAGAATAAACATTGTTATAATATAGTTAATTATTCTCAACGTCTCTGCCACGTTTTATTTACTCCACTAACTAATATTTACTTTCTTTCATTGTACAGGTGCATACAATAATTTTATCAATGCGGAAAAAGTGAGTGCCCTGTGCACAATTCTGGAGGCGTTTGGTAATACGAGAACATGTCTCAATACAAATGCGACGCGTATGACGCAGCTACTCAGCCTGGATTTCGATCAGACCGGGCAAATAGCATCAGCCTCGTTACAGGTAAGCCGAGTTAACATCTCAACTAGACTGCATTGCTCATGCGTCAAAATGGCTACAGGTTCTTCTGCCGGAGCGTCAACGTGCGGGACGCCGGCTGTCGCACGAGCACAGCTTTCATATTATGACGCGACTGTTGGCGGGCGCCGCAGGGCTGCTGCAGAAGGAACTGCACTTGGAGAACATTTCATCTGAAGACAGTCATCCGTTTATATCGCTCTCTCAGCGACTGGAGGATCGCCATCGGGCGGCGAATGACTTTTTGCGTACGGTGCAGGCATTCGAGACACTCAACATTGATGCAAAGGCCGTGCGGGGAATTTGGAGCATACTGGCAGCCATTTATCATCTGGGTATTGCGGGCATTACAAGAATGGGCACCGGCTCAACGGCACGAACTCAGTTTGCCAATCCGACAGCAGCGCGCAAAGCGGCTAGCCTGTTGGGAGTCAATCTGGAGGATTTATCGGCAGCTGCGTTTGGTCTGACGCAGCCTAATGCGGGCGGCAGTTTAAGTCCCTCCAAGTCGCCTACCTCAGATGGCGGTCAAGAATGGGCCTGGGAATGCCTTGAAGCGCTCGTCATTGGCCTCTACTCGGAGGCCCTGGCCGCTGTGGTAGCTCTCATTAATCGCCAGATCTGCACATCAGCACATACTATTGCTTCGATTATGCTGATCGATACGCCGGGCTTCCAGAATCCAGCCAGTTGTGGTCAGCAGCTGGGCGCCACGCTAGCCGATCTGCGTCACAACTATCTGCAGGAACGCCTGCAAATGCTTTTCCACCACACAACATTGGTAGCGCCACGTGATCGCTATGCCCAAGAGCTGGTGGAGATTGAAATGGATCATGCCTCCGAGTGCCATCCAGGTCCGCTAATATCTCTAATTGACAAGGCACCACAGAATCATGTGGTCCGCTCCTCACAACGGGATTTGCGCGAGCACGATCGTCGTGGTTTGCTTTGGTAGGAACTTCTATTAGTATTCCTATCTATCTCATATTGATCAATCTTAATGTTCAATTTGCAGGCTATTGGACGAGGAGGCCATCTATCCCAACTCGAATGACGACACATTCCTAGAGCGTTTGTTCTCTCATTACGGCGATCGTGAGCACCACACATTGTTGCGCAAATGCGCCGGACAGCGTCAGTTTGTGTTGCATCATCTGCAGGGCACCAACCCGGTGCTGTACGCCGTCGATGGCTGGGTTCGACACAGCCGCGAGCATCCTGGCATACGAAATGCGGTGTCGCTGCTGCAGGACAGCAGTCGGGAGGAGATCAATCGTCTGTACATTGGCTCATTGACGCGCGGCTCCGGTGCCATGGTCTTTTGCGGTTCCTTCGCGGGTCTGGAAGGCACACAGTCATTGCGTCGCGTTTCCAGCATACGCCGCTCCTTCACTACGGCGGGTGTCAAACGCAATTCAATTATGCTGCAGGTGAAGTTCACCGTAGACGGCATCATCGACACGTTACGTCGCACAGGTACCCACTTTGTGCACTGCTATCTGCTGCAGCACAATGCGGGCAAACATGCCAAGTATACGGCGAATGGCTCACCCAGCTCAGCTCTTGGCCAAGCAGCTACCGAGGAGGAATTGGTCAATGTGCCACTGTTAAGGAGTCAGGTGAGACAACGAGAAGCGATCAATTCTCAAAATGCGTGCTGACGTTGTACTCCATTTGCTCTCAGCTACGTGGCTCGCAAGTCTTGGAGGCGGCTCGTTTGCATCGTTTGGGCTTTCCCGAATCTGTGCCATTGCTTGAGTTTGTGCGTCGCTTTGGTCTGTTAGCCGGCGATCTGGCGAGCAACAAAGATATTAGCGTAGAGCAAATACTCGCCGTCAATGAAATGGACGTTGCCAGCTATCGTATCGGACCAAGTCAGGTGAGTTGAATTTTAAATACATTATATACCGAAATAAACTGGTTTTGCAAATAAGACTCAAACTAGGAAATCAAAAAGGAAAAAAAAGGTGGTGCGTATAAAAATAAGGGGAATGAAATAGATTTATATAGGTTACTCAAAAATCAGATGATAATCGATATTCGGAGAAAAGGCAGAGCTATCCAACACGATTTAATAATCTTAATACGAGAACCTATATCGAACTATAATGGGTTCGATAATTATCAGTGGCTTCTGCTCTTAATGGCTCAGACAGGCCAAAATGTTGCTCCCAATGAAATATACATTATCCTTAAGCACATGTAAATATTGGAAGGTTATGGTACTCCATTGACACAAATAGTAGGTATGTGCTTTATTTTAATACATTCTTAAATTCTATTAAAAATCAAATTGGAGTTTAAAGTAATCGGTGAATTGTGAAACTAACTGATTGCACAAGTTATTTGTGCGTCTGTCTACCTTAAAAAATGTAGTTTTGCAGCCTTGCACGTTGCTCTGAAAATATACTGTTTGTTAATTCTGCCCTGTTTAATTTAATATTTATGTAGTACAACCTCTAAAAAATCCTCTTCTTAATGGAAACAAAGTATTAAATCTTTACTTTCCGAACCATTGCAAACAAACAATGATCAACATTAATATACAATTTTAAAAAGTGCCCTTAGCTACAGTTATTGTAAGGGTATTTATTCCTCGACATACAGATGCAAACTTTTTTGTTTGTTTATTGCATACATTATTTTAGTCTTTAAAATAATAAAATAAATAATTTGTACTTGTTATAAAGTTCAAATTTAATTACATACGTGTAGCTTATGGCCCGACAGTTAATCAATCGAATTAAAACCAGTTTGAGCCGCACTTTTAAATGATCCGAATACTAACTTCAAATGCATTTAAAACGATGTGTGTATATAGTATTTTCTTCAACTTTTTGCAATTGTGTATAAAGCCCCAAACGGCAATGTTTTGGAATCCCAACAATTATTTGTTTTACCGAATCAATGGCTAACCAGTTTTTATGTATTATAAGCAAAACTACATTCAAAGAAGGTTAAATAGCTCTAGGCCTAGCTCATGCTATCTTTAATACTGACGCATTTTGGTTTTTATAATTCTGCAATGAGTTTTCATTGTATAGCTTCAAAATAAAGTTATACGAAGTGTTGGTATAATATGTATAATAAATAGTTATAAATAAATGTATGCCACATTATCATAATAGGCACCGATAAGCGTTTTAAACAAATTGCATTAACATCGAACTGGAAACAAGGAAATCATAATAGAATTTGCTGGTACCATTGAATTTTGCAAATGTGCTAAATACCATACCATAAACGTTTTTATTAATTCTTATCTAATATCGATTAAAAGTATATAAGATATACCGTTTTCCATATAATGAAGCTGATCGAATTACAATCGTAGAGGTTTTAACAAAACTTTCTCGATCTCCTGCAAATGTGCAAAATACTCAGACCATACGCGTTTTTGTATCTACATTCCAAAACGGTGGTTCAAGGTGGGGCGCGGCTTATTCTTCAAAGCAGTTGATTTTTAAAAATGCTTTTCACTATGAAAATCGTGAATATATACGTATGCATATAGACCCATTTTTCTATCTACCGATTGATTTATATAAAAAGGATTGTTATAAAATATTTCTTGCCAAGAGCTCAGTAGAGCCACGCATAAAACGCAGTCTCATTTAAAAAGTAGGACTTCCGTAATGTAAGAACAACTAGCTTTTTCTTTTTTAAATACATTTACTTTATTTATAATAAAAGACAGGAAAATATAATTTTGCTAACAGGAACCCGTTTGCGACTCCCAAAATAGACACCTAAGTTAAGCAGGATGTAACATTTCGATAGCAAGGCACAAATATTCATATGACAGCATTCCGGTTGAATGATGTTGATACAAATTTTGACTTATTTGCATTTCGAAATTTTAAAACCCGGTCTAGTGCTCATTTGCGGCCCAAAAGGAAGCTTCTGCACAAATTTCAGCCCACACCATTTAGGCTGAGCGTTAATCACCAATCAGTCAGTCAGGACAAACTCCTTTATATATATATATAGATGTACACTAAGTTCATAGATTACTTTTTGGTTATTCGCCTCTGTTTTGGCTGCATCTTATAGAAGCCTTCGATATGTTCTTGTGTTCAAAATAGTTGACGGCTTTGGAGGTCGTATGCGAACTAGACCATCGATAATGCCGAATGGCGGCTGCTCCAATGTGCTGAGGTAATAGACACCTGCCTTGGGCACAGCCGGCTCACCGCCCATATATGCATCGGCGGCACAATACACTTCACTGGTGTATTTGCCGTTGCTGTTGCAGCCACATGTGGCTGTTAGTATGCTCTGAAGTGAGCTACAGCGGAGCGCACCAAAGATATTGGGCTGGCGCACAGACTCGGCAAAGTAGTAGACGGCCGCAAAATGATCACAGGCAAAGTCAAACTCGGTGGCCGTGGCATTTGGACATTGCGGCTGTCCGCGGCCCCAGTTGGGAAAGATGGCGGCCTGACTGAGTTGATTGCCCTGTGGATTACCCAGCAGCTTTAGATCTGTGTGTATAGACTCCACATAAATGGCGTCAGTGGGTGCCAGTCGCTCCTCAGGTCCCAGCCTAAGCTGTGTGAGACCCGCTGGATCTAGCGCAAATATGGCGCCCAGGCGTGCGGGTCGCAGCTGTTTGCCAGTTAGGCCGGCGACATGACTGCCCGCACTGTGGCCCACCAAATAGATTTGCTCGTAGGGCACGCCCGTGTTGTCGTGCAGGAAGCGCAGAAATTTGGCAATACTGGCTGCAATCGATTGTAGTTGCTTCGACACACGATAGTAGTTAATGTCCATTGCCTGGCGGCTCCAGTCCACGATGATGACATTGAAGTTGCCACGCCACAAATACGCATCCTTGATAGCCGCATTGTAGCAGGTGTTGCTTTTGCCCGTCCAGCCGTGTATGGAGACTCTGTGAATATTCAGATTTTGTCAAATCATTATAAGGGATCCATTATATTTCTTACTCAACCCACCTGACTGGCCATTTGCCGTTGAAAAACGAATTCTTTAGCATATTCACATCACCCGGACGCAGCAGCTGGCGCTCTTGTGGATTATACGGCGTATAGAGATCATATTGCAAAAGGCTGGCTTGAGATCTGGGCCTTGCCGAATTGGTCAGCCTTTTCAGGCTTGTTTGGACCAAGCCCTCTAAAACGGTGGTTATTGAAATTTCACACTTGCCGCGCTCATAAGCAAACTGCCTTTGGCCAGCGGCCACTTCTAAAACAGCAACAACAGCAATAAAAATATATCACAGATTACAGATTACACCTGAAAGAAACACTTCACTGGCACACTTACTTCCAGCTGGCAACAGCAGCAACAAAAACAACAAGTGCATATTGAAAGCAATAAATAAAAAATGAAATAAAATAAAATTAAATTAAGAACCAAATCAAGTTCCAAAAACTCGCGACAAAGCGTCAATTAAAAGCCACTTTTATTCAGCACAGCTCACTAAAAAGATCTCACAGCAGCGAATTTTTCTGAGCACGACAACCGACAGCTCCGACGCGTTACAAGTTCTGAGCTAAAGTATTGCTAAATTCTAAACGGACGCTGTGTTAAATACCATTATATATAGTGTTTTATAAAGCTAAAAGCGCAGAGCGTGCTGAGGACGACAGCTCAATCGCATGCACTGGACGAGGGCGCCGGCCGGCCGGCCAGCCGGCTTGTTGGCTGGTCGTCTGTCAGCGATAGCTCCACAGCTCGGTCACTGTCATGACAAGCGCCCATTTAAGCTGCAAACTTGTTGAGATTGAGCAGTTGCTGCTGCTGCAACAGTAGCAACAGTATGCAGTTAACAACAATTGCAGATGCAGCTAAGTAAGTGCAAGCAAATACTTGGCTTGTCATGTTCAATTAGCTGCCAACTGGACCCTAGCCACTTCCGTTGCTTGAGCCTAAGTTATTTTAGACGGTTGTTCATTCTGGCTGACGATTTCTTTTTGGCGTTCCAATCCTAAGTTTAGCAGCTCACAATTCACGGCCTGGCATTGGTGTGGGTCAGTAGGCTTTCACTGTCTACGGCCAAGGGGAAATGTTGGTTCATTAGCCTGGCTAACGAAATTCATTTATGCGTTGCATAATTATATATATTAACAAGTCTATATATATATATATATATTTATAGATACACGCATATATTTGACTTTTAAATATGTTTTATTCAGGTTTCTAGTTTTCATCGCCTTACGATTATTAACATAAGACTTTCTTATGTAAGTTGTCCACATATAATTGGCCAATTATCTGGTCATTTTCAAAATGTTAGGTAATTTGAGTGTGAATTTGAATCATTAGTCATGGCATCCATAACTAATTTAATTAGTGCAAACACAGGTGCAATTGTGTACCTCGCTTTTATTTACAAATTCTTAATCATGTGCTTAAGCATGGTATATTATGAGCATATTTTTTTATCAATGGTTCAATCCGAGCATAAATAATTTGCCAGCCTGTCTGGCGCCTTGTTGCTGTAGCGCCTTTCAAATACTATCAAGCCGCATTTGAATTTTGGCTGTGTCATGTTTCATACGCAAATTCGAGCCAAGAATGCTGTTAAACGGCCAAACTAAGTAATTATGCATACAAAAACAGATCGTGAACCAAGTCGTTGATCTCTCGCTACAACCTGCTACTAACAGTTGCCACTGGCCCGCCTCGATCAGCAGGGCTTTCAGACTCATTTACGTAGAAAACTGTGTGAGTTTGGAGAGTTGACGTTTCATCACATCTATGAGATATGAGCTATGAGCTATGAGCACATGTATTTACACGTATTTAAGGTTCAGGTTCAGCAATAATTTCATATCGTTGTTTTCCAAACCATTTAGCGGATCTCTCAGGTCGTAGCATAAGTGTGAGACTTGGTTTCTTTTTATGACAGCGACATTAAAATGTTTGACTTAAACATTTGTCGCTCTTCCTCTTTTACTATTATTGTTGTTAATTTTTATAAACATATAACAGATCGTTCAACTCGTGCGTGCCAAGACATGTGTCGGTTGAGACATGTTACAAAGTTTATTGACAGGATTTACGTATTAAAGCAAATAATGCATGCTTATTACGCGAGATGAAACCTGTACAGTATCGATCATATTGTTTTGTTAAGCTGCTTAAAGGCATATTGAATATTTTCGAAAGTGGGTGTGTACTGGGCTTATAGAGTGCACACGCATCTAAAATAAACTTCAGCTTAAACCACATTACAAGTCAATAAAACCTTGTGCAGTTAACGAATGTATTCCTTAGCCCAAGTGCACTGTGTCACGCCAGTCGTACAAGGTATCTACTCGTTAATCGCCAGTATGCCTCATACTCTTACACTGTTTAGAGATTTTGATATTAAGGAAAACAAGTATACATCTTAGGGGAAAGAGCAAAAGGTTTATGCATTCTTTTAGATTAAATGATTCTAGATGAAATGAATCTCATAAGCTTTGTTCTACTATCATACAAATCACTTGGGTAAATGTTTTAGTAGGCGCATTAAATATTTGATACTAGTGTTTACAATCTGATTTGCAATTTATATGTAATGTAAGTTAATGGCTTCCTTAACAGATTTTTGTAGGAGCTTTTGCCCTCTTATTAATTAACTGAAAAGTATAAACAAGCGTAGGTAAACCCACAATTATTGATTCAAATCAATTTGAAAGTGAAAAACACAGCACGCATCACATTTTGAATGAAACTTGCTTTTAATTATGAATAAACTTCCTATTTACGGTTTATCTTACTGGTTTTTTAGGCGGTGTTCCTGAAGCTAGAAGCTTTATAAAACTTTGAACCCAATAGTATATCACATGATAGACTTGAAAGACCAGTTGCAATATTATATTAGTAAACAACAAATCTAAATCAGATTGGAAAGGCTAATTTGTCAGACAATAGAAATAGACACTCCCATATAATAAATTCGAAAAATTCCTAAAATTTGTGATGGATTAAGAAAATGTATATGCATTTACTTAAATCACGTTTACTACATAACTTTTCATTTTTCTCCTGTAATTTATTATTTTAAATGTTATCTCCAAAAAACTAAGGAAGCTAGCATATTTTACCATATTTTAAAATTTTAGATGTTTTCATTATATGACTTTTAAAAAACCATAACAAAAGTGATTTGTTTAGTTCTGCATATAAATTTCGAATTAACAATGTTTATATCGAAGTTAACGCTCTGAAAAATCACCAAAAATAAAGTAGACGTTGAGTCATAGACATTTCCTGATTGTCAAATATTTAGCACAATTTAAAGAATACTAATTTGCAACAGATTATCACATTTGATACTTCTTATTATAGTTTTTTTTGTTTCCTTTCTTAGCTTTCACTTTCTATCAAAATTGAACTGTTTGCTTGTTTGTTTTTATTTGGTTTGTTAAATTTCACTCTTCTCTGCGATTCTGAACTGTCGTAAATTGGTTCTAAACTGCTGGGCATGTGTGTAACTCTCGATGCTTCTTAAAGGTATTACTTACTAGGGCTCTGGCATGCGCTCGGTTGGCTGCTTGGTTGGTTTTTGATTTCCTGTTCTCATGCAACTGTGAATCCCTGCTTAATGCCGGTAGGTGCCTACAAAAACTGTTCGTAATAAGCAAACTTTTGACGTCACTTGTTGCAAGTCCACTTTTTTTCTCTTCTTGGGTTTCTGTGCTCTGTTGCGATGACGCTGACAACTTTCACGGTCAAGTTCATCTGTGAAGCTCCCGCCTCCATTGTGGTATAGAATTCCGAGCTACTGTTGTTATTGTGTGTGTCTGTCGTTGGCTTGTCGAGCTATGGGCCCAGCTTCTTATACTGATTATGTCTGATGCTCAGTTGGTTTCCACAAATGGAGAACGCTGCAGCGAGGCAGGCAAATTATTTCATCGACGCAAAATGTGTCCGGACAAATCCAAAGACATGTGCTTATCGAATGGCAACGAGAGTGCCAGATTTAGCAGCTGGCTTGGAGATAGCGACACCAATGGCAATGGCAACGGCAACGGCAACATCCACAGCGATTATTTGCTTAACATCTTTGTGCAGCTTTGCGGCCAGCGGCATGCGGCAGACGATATTTGGCGTTTGATATTGCTAATCTATGGAATGGGCAGCAGTCTGTGGCTCATCGGACGCAGCGCACGCAGTGTACGTACCATTCCGAAACCAAATTCAATTTCAAATCCAACTCCGAAACTGTGCCCAACCCAATCCAATCCAGCCGCGTGCGTCGTTTGACTTTCACCAAAAAATGACGTTGCGTTTGTCGAGCTGCGCGACCCGCTGCAACCTGCAGACAACTCGACGATCGCAGACAACAACAACAACCACATTTGTCCAATGCACATTAATATTTTTTCCATGCAAACGTTTAAAGTGAAATTTCCCAGCGTTCGCTTTCATTAGAAATGAATCGCGGTTTGTGTTTCTGTGTGCAGCTTATAACTTGCATAATATATGGAAGCGGGTTCTGTCAATGGGGCTTAAGTCCAGTGAAAAAGGTTTTCAAATTGGCTCGAAGCGAGAAAACACGAAAACTTCATTAGCGCATTGACATGCAAGCGCCTGCCGCCCATTTTTTGGGAAGCAAAAGGGGCGTGACCTTAATCAATTTACGCATTAATCTAAACCAGGCCAATTGGCCCTTTAGGCTAACTCTATATAAACTAGTTTTCGATTAATTATGAAATAACAATAACCAGGAAGCTGCCTATATGCGTTTCTCCAAGCTGCAGTTCGTTTAATTGGTTACAAGACGTGTTTCTTTTTTAAACCAATTGAATATTATGCGAGACTCTTGTTAAGGTACACAACTGCCGTTAAGCTCTGCTCTTGTTCGCTTCCGAGGTGTACGCAATTTGATAAGTTAATGCGGCGAGCAATTTTAATTTGAATAATTAATAATTGACTCCATTGCCAGTACAGACCGTGGACATTGTAATAAGGAAGAGCCACAAGGTTCTATAAATCATCCACTTGATATCGAATGTGGTTCAGATATGAAGATATCGTACTTCATCACTTTGACAATCGCCAATCGGCACTGATCATCGAAGCGCTCTTTCCATAAGATTTATTTGTTTATTACTAAAGGGCTAAAGGCGTGAGAATTTCGATATCTGAAAAAAGTATAGGGTAATGCAATTGAAAGTGAAAGGATAAACTTAATTGATGATGTACAAAATAAGACAATGGAATGGTTCAAGATTCTAAAAAACGTTAAATGGAAATTTCTTATAGTTCCTAAAAAGAATAAGGTTCGAGGACATTTTCGAGCGGTTGTGAAGTTGGGCAAATGCATCAGGACTTAGGAAGGCCATGTTATTTCAAGGTCTCCGACGGTTCAAGTTTCGTTACAATATTACTGTTCTCTTGATAAAAACTTTATATCAAAAAAAGCGAGAAATTCTTAAGCCAGCTTAAAACGAAACTAAAATAAACTAATATGAAATACTAGATGCATATTATATATAGATAATTAAAAATTTTAATTAGAAAAATTTTAATTGAATTTATATCTGCTTAAATTAAAGAGTAGTAAGAGTAAAGAGTTGCTTAAAAAAAGGTGTCATATTTAAGATTCTTTGGTGTTTGTTCAAAATGTTTTGAGTTTCGTGGGCAAGCTATAGTCATGCCTGCCCTAGGGCAGTGCAATAACCTTTTCAACTGACCACAGGCAAGGGAAGGGAAGATTCTATAGAACCTGCACATATATCAATATTTGTCATTGTCACGGACGAGCGTTAAAGCATGTGAATATGCACTATGGTTGATTTAATACCCGCTGAAGTCCAATTGCTGACAATGAAAAGTTCAAATGGAAACATACATGAGATTTTTCACTTTTAGTTATACAAAACTGTGCTGATTATGATGTTAAAGCTGATGATAATGATGATGATGGCGATGAGTATGTGTAATTGTTGTAATATCGCTAATGAGGAGAGCACACTATAAATCGAGCATATGACGACCAAACGAAAACAGATTTGTTGGTGCTGCTTATTAGCATCGAACCTGCAGCTGCAACACGTTGCATAGAGGTACGATGTCTGGGCCGCCGACATGCCGCTTCACCCCACCATATGGTTAACCATGACCGCCACCAATTACGGTAAGCCGCGACCATGTCCACGGCTCTGTTTGTTGATAAGCCACTTTCGAATGCACAGCGCACTTGGCTATTGACTGTTTTGTTGCTGTTGCTGTTGCTGTTGCTGCTGGTCTGCTGGCTGTTTGGCTGCGTCTGGCGCGGCAAGAAATTCAGTTGCGCCGTTGAGCTCAAAGAGAAAACAACACACGAATTACGCGCCAAGCGCCCAGCAGCTGTGAAAGTGTTGGCACTGCTGTTGGTCAAGTGGCCACAAGCGGCGACCGCCAATCGAAAGGAAATTTCGCAACGACAACAGCAAAAATTATATGCACTTTTACTTGTTGTCAGTCTTTGCATCATCATCATCATCATCATCATCATTCGCTATCATCGCCATCAATAACTCACAATAATTATTGTTATTATGTACAAGCACACGGTCAAATCAAAGCTGTCACAAGCGCGTAGCACACCGCCGTTGCCAGCTGCCACGCCCCATAAACAGGCACACGGCCTGGGCGCTGGTAAAAAATTCTTCTCGCACATACGTCACAAAATCGAGGATAATCTAACGCCCAAGCTGAGCGGAAAACTCTACTACAAGGGTAGCAAGCACACGCGCTCCATGAGCGCACTCAGCCTAGTGGACAGCGGCGGCTGTGTGGGCGGCAAGTACACGCCCAACACGACGGCAGCAGCAGCAGCAACAGCGGATTCGCCGACCTGTGCAACAGTCAGTGGCAATCCGCTGCTAACATTGAGTGGCAGCGTTTGCAGCTATGTGGACAGCGATGAGGAGAGTCACATGAGCCTGAATCTGACACAGCAATCGCTAGAAGACGAGATCTTTGCGGAGCTGGAGAAGGTCGCACACGATGAGAGCAAACTGAACGAGGTGCTGCAGAGCTTCGATCAAATATTGCAGGAGTATCCACCAGTGGAGGACCTAGATTTGCAGCTGGAACAGACATTGCCACTGACGCTAACACTGCCACCGCCGCCAGCTGAGTTCAGTGATCGCCAGCTGCTATCGAAATCACATAGTTCGCTGAGCATGGCTTCGAGCAGACGACAGATCTACCAGACGCCGGAATTGGCCAATTCGATGCTGTTGCGCCGTAGCGACTCCAGCTCGAAACAACGCTACAATTCGTTGTGCGACATCAGACAGTTAAGCGGCAGCCGCATACCCATATCCAAGCACTCCAGTCTGCGCTGCCTGGAGAAGACCAATGGCACGAGCAAACCGCAGCAAACACTGCCACAACAGCAGCCAAAGCAGCAACGCACCAGATCCATGCTGACACTTAGCAGTCGCAACTGCAGCAGAGCCAATGCGGCAGCCAAAATGAAGCCGCTGCCGGCGCCACCAGGTTCTGTTTTGCCGCCTAAGCGGGCCAACTCAACGCTGGAGCGTCGCCAGTTGGCGACCAAGCCGCCCAGACGTGCCAATTCGACATTGAAAGCGGCGGCCAATCGATCACCGAATGCGCACAGCGATGAGCTGTTGGTCAAGTGCCTGGCCAAGGGTCATGACCTGCTGCGTCAAGTGGAGAGCCTAAATGCCGGCAAACCACGGCCCAGTCGCGGCGTGAGTAAGGAGCACACGCAGCTGCTGCGACATAAAAAGAAACAGCAGCTACAAAAGCTGCACTATGCCAACGAGGAGAAAGTGGGCAAACCCAAGCTAGAATCGTGCAAGATAATACCTCCCAAGCTGGGCGAGACCTCAGATAAAAATCAAGAGCTGCTGGTCAAAGTGGTGCAACAGCAGCAGCCGCCGCCACAACATAAGCCAATAAAAGCTGTTGAACATAACTCAAACTCTGACTCAGATGACTCGGGTCACATAAGCAACACTGTGTTGTCATCGGCATCCAACTCCACCAGCAATTCAACTGGCAGTCTGTGCGAGTCTGAGGGCGAGGGCGAGGGCGAAGTTGAAACAGAGCCGGCCAAAAGCTGCTGCAAGCCCAACAAAATTGCTCAGCTATTGCAAAAGTTTGAGGCCAGATCCAAATGCCAAACGGATAGCAACCATATGATTCCAACGATGACGTCAACCACGACTAAAGTGGCGCAGGTGCGGGCGGTGCGCTGCATACAAACGCAGGTGGAGATCTATCCCACCTATATGAAAGAGGTAACTATGCAGCTGCACTAGCTAGCGACTCCCCAGCAAAGGCCCTACCATAACTTAACCACTCTATACGCTCCGGCTATATCTTTTAGTTACAACTATTTCTTAACTATTAACTGGAATAAATATTGTTATAAAAAAAAAACAAAAACAAGCCTCTTTGCCGCTTCTCTTCTGTTCTATATTTATGTATTTATATTATTTAACACCTGGTTTCGGCTACTTGTTGCTTTTGTTTTTCGTAGTTTTTTTTTAGTGGTTGCCTCTTGTGCCGCCTCACCTCAGTTGTAAAACCCGCACATACACACCCATTTTCCCGGTTGGTCGCAATTTCACATTGGTTTACTTTCATTTTTGATCTACGTGCGCTGCATAATTTAAAATTTTGAAATAGTTTCTCGAAAAACGTCGCAAATTCAGCGAAACACCGTTGACACACCCCGCAAAGGTGCGTCCAATCTCAAGCCAAATCCAAAGACTTTCAGCTAACTAATTTGTAGTCTCAATGGAGGCTCGCGACTTTGGCTCGATTGCATTTGTTTGTAGAGAGTCGGGCTGCCTAATGGAATTGACGCTTTTGTTTATTTTTTATTTTCTATTTAGTGGTGAATTTTTATACCCTGTACCCCATGGGTATGGGTAATGGGTAATAACGGGTATAATGGTGTTGTGCAAATTTTGTAAGAACCAGAAGAAAGTTTTTTTGATCCCATAAAGTGTATATGTACTTGGTAGGTATTAATGAGCAGATTGATCTGTCGATCGATATATGTTTATTGCATGCTGAGCTCGTCTCGTTTGAACAAATTTTATATGTTAAGGTTTTTTTGGAGTATAAACAATTTGAAGATATGTTTAAGAATGTTATTTTTTATAGATGTGATGATATTAAAGTAAAGTACGAATGTTTGTAACGGCAGTTTTCGACTAGTTACAGGGTATCCTCGAGGCCGGCATTACTAACTAAAGCCCTCGTACTGGTTTTGTTAAATCTTTTATTACGTTCCTAGCATTCTGCACAGGTGTGCAAATTGGTGAGCTGTGCTCTTGTCCAGCTCTTTGCCTCTGCTGCTGTCAGCCACCTTGAACACCTTAACCTTCACTTCCTTGAATTGATTAATTTTTGCTTTATTTGTTTAAGTTGCCTTCTTGTAAGTGCAGCTGCGCTTAAACTTCACATACAAAATTGTGACTATTTGAGCTGAGGATGGGGCTAAGAACTTCACTTTATGTATAAGGCTGTCGGAAATCCATTTTTTATATTCTTTATTTCGCCATTGTCTACTGCAAGTCTAATTAGGGTATAAATTGGATTTCTGTTGATGAACGCATTTTAATATTATTGTTTTATTCATAAGCAATAGAGAAAATTGCAGCTGTAAACATCTGAAAAAATGGTTATTTTCACTTAATGCCAAATTGAATAAAAATCTTGCGTTTCGTATTAAAAGGCACTTGAGTTTTTAAAAAAACTTAACTTAACTTCTTGAATTGTTAATAAACATAACTTTCTGTCGAACGAAAATGTTTGTTAGAAAGATTAAATTTCGATAGAGTTTATCTATAAAGATTAATTAGTTTCAAAAATCATTGAACATATTTAAAAAATTATCTAAATTTCGTTAAATTATTCGGTTTATCGAAATAGGATAAAGATAATTTTATATATTGTATTAAACCTATAAGAAAATGTCATTAAATCATACATTTATTTGGAAGTTCCTTACAAGACCAATTAATTTAATTCTTTAATATTATTTAGTAGGTTCGATTACAAAGAGGTTGTAAATAAGTTTAAAATGTAAAAAATGCACAAAAAGCCGAGTAGATATACAAGACGTAACAAGATAGATACACAAAATGTGGCATGCAGGCGTCAAGTACCGAATCCATATATAGAATTTTGTTTTGCTTTGATATGCGAATATCAATTAGATACATATGTGTATAGGGTATATTCTAGTATAAATATATAAGATTTAGAAATTCGATGTTTTTTTTTAAATAAGTAAATTTATAGCACACAAATAAGATACTAACAATATAAACATTTCATGAAAACAACAGACATTAAGAGAGAGAGAGACAGGCATTTGTATACTGACTTTATGAAGTGTTAGATATCTTCTAAAGCACATAGTTATACATATCCTAAGATCAAGGATTTAGATTTTATGTACAAAAAAAAATGTAATTTCAGTTCAATATTATCAATTCTTATTTTCATACCCTATATACTTCTAATCATATTTCAGATACTTTTCCGTTCCGGTGTGCTCAATGAGCTGGAGGCCAAACGCGATGTGTTGCTTTCGGATCGCATTATACAGTTGCAGGCGTTTTGTCGTGGCTATTTGGCACGCAAAAAGATGTCGCAACGGCGTATTCAGGTGAGTTCAATCCCCCCAGGAGATTTCCAATAAGCCTGATCTACAATCTTGGCCTTACAGGAGCTGGCAGTGCGTTGCATTCAACGCAATGTAAAGGCCTTTTTGGCTGTGCGCGACTGGCCCTGGTGGCGTCTGTTGGTTCGTGTGACGCCTCTGCTCAATGTGCACCGTACCGAGGAGCAGTTAAAGATCGCCAACGAGGAGTTGCTCATGCTTCGTGCCAAGCTGGAGAAGATCGAATATGATCGCAGTGAAGTCAAGAACGAGAATCAAAAATTGGAAGCCAAGGTAAGCCATTTTTCTACCCATATCTCAGACAAGGCAAGTCTTTGCGTCTAGTCTTTAATTAAAATTGCGCAGCCGGAGATGACATGACATGTGGCTGCGCTGCCCACGTTAGTTGAAATGACAACTATCTGGGGCGCCAAGATTTGGCTAGTCTTGTGGTGCAAACAGTTTGCAGAGTGATGCTTTATGTTCCGCTCGCTGCTGCTATGAATGATGTCTGTATGAATGCAGATATTTGTACAGTGGAACTAGTTTTCCTAAAATTCATATAATTTGGGTTTATTATACATTTCTGTATTTATTTATATTATCTGCTTTCTAATGAAAATTAAAAACAGATTTTAAGTTAGCCTCTGTTAAATTGATTTAATATCTGGGGCTCTTTGTATACCCTATTTTCACTGACAGATCGACAATGATGTATGGCTTCTGCTTTATTTAAAATGAAAATATTTAAACAATTTTTTTATTTTAAATGGCAACAAAATGTACAGCTTGCACAGCTGAACTATAGGAAGTTTTTTTTTGCCAAAATTAATTATATATTAGCGGGCGAATACGTCAATTCAGAATATAAATGGTATACTTCAATTAATTAATATTGTAGAATATTTTTAATATATTTAAATGAAGTAATCTATATATTTTGGATATTTCTGACCTGACCCTAATTTAAATATTAATTTAAAATGCATCACGGTCAAGTTTTTATAAATAAAAAAAAAATGTAAAAAATTTGTACGCTTACTTACCGTGGGATTTGAGTTTTATTGTATATTTTATAAGCTTAATAACTATTCATGTAAACTCATAAAGCGCGCAGTTGTTATAAATTTGGCTCTGCACAGTATTAAATATCAAGGGAAGTTTATGGAAAGTGTTTGCATGCTTTAATGCCATTGAAAAAATCGTCTGGATTGTATTTGACCAATAGAATTTTCGCAATGAGTGCATTTCTGTGATAGATACGATTGAGTTAAGACTGCGATCTGGCGATATTTCCGCCTCTTGTTTGGCTTATTGTAAAATATAAATAGCTTCTGGGCAATGCGTGAGTCCATTGAACACTGACTGGGGATACGTATTTATGTAAAAGCACGCATGTTTATGTATATGTATATCGGTGTATCTCTGCACTTAAGAATAGCGAGTTGTATATGTATTTTTAAATGCTCCGAAAAATCATTAATAATACTTAATTGTGCTGCTGTGTACTCGTGTTGCAACTTCGATCCACATGCTGGTCATTCATTTATATAAACGTTGAGCAAATCAACAGTTGTCTCGACTTATTAAATACATTTGTACATGTAAACATATTTATATATAAGTATATATATCTGAGATTATGTCAATATCGAGGCGGTCCATGTTGCAATTCTTTTGCCAGACGCTCTCCGACTCTCTCTCTCTCACTCTCAGACTGTGTAGAGCAGTTTGCCAAAAAGCAGCTGCCCGGCGAGCTTTTCTGGTCACGCATCGCAAGTGGCCGCCGTTCCCCAAGAGATTCACTTAGTTGCTGAGCAAACGTCGCGACGCGAACGCCGGAGGCGCCCAACACCGTGTACCGTGCCGTGTCGCGAGATCCGTATCCGAATTCGTATGCAAATCTGAGTCCGAAACCGATACGTTTTCGTGCGTGTGTGTGATAGAAAAATCGGTGCCAAAAGAAAAGTAAGAAAGGGGGAAAAGAAACGAAGCATATTGGCAATTTGATGCTGAAGCCAAAATAAATAGCATTTTCGCGATAAATTTAAATTTTTGCTTGCAAGCGATCTCAAGTTTTTGACAGCACGTAAAACCACACAAACCTACCCCCAGAACCGAAACACACAACCAAATCACAAAACGATTTAAAAACGAACTAAAAACGAATTTAACGAATTGGCACTACAAATCCAGATTCAACAAAAACGAAAACTAAACCACAATTAAGCCCACTAACCCACTACTGGTCCTTTCACCCCCTGCTCCTGATTAACACGCATCCAACCCGCAAACTAGCCCTCCTTCCTACCCGACAATGGCACCGCTGGCGCCTGTAGATGCAGCTCTTGCTGACAGTGCTGACATTGCAGCTCCGCCAGCTGCCAAAGATGAATCTAAAAACGAATTAGAGTGTGAACCAGAGCAGGAGAAGGACACTTTTATTGCACGCGTATTGGCCGCCATGAATGGTATTACGAGAAACAATAACAACAGCAGCGGAAGCGGCAGTGGCTCCTCGCTGGGCACACTAAAGCCACCCAAACCGCCCAGCAGCCAGGCACGCAAGCAGCTGCGCCTGCTGCCCAAGCAGCGCGAACAGAGTCCCGTCCATGGGCTGACCAATGGACACAGCAACACCAATACACGCAACACACACCACACCAACAACAACCACAACAGCTACACGTCACGTGCCACAAGCCACAGCAGCAGCTCGCAGTCGCTTTCAACGTCCGGACTGGGTAATTACCAGACTAAGGACACTGAAAGCCAGTACGAGATCTCGCTGAAACTGCCTCTTTCAACAGGCTCAGGCACGGCAACAGGCACAGGGGCATCTGGGGATGCTGCCATGGATCGATTGCGCCTGCTGACACGCTCGCCCAGTCCAGCTTATTCAATATCCTCACGCTGCTCGACACAGTCCAGTGTTTCGCGCACGTCGCGCCTGGAAACGCCGCCGCGTCGCGTATTTCCGCAGAGCTACACGAGGGGCAGCGGCTTGGATCCGTATGAGATGCATCAGCTGGAGAGTTCGCCAGTGGTGTTTGATGCGAATCTGTCGTTTGTTCTGGGTTGCCAACGGCAACCGGTGCATCAGACGCTGCGTCCGACGCCCTCGTTTGAGGATCCGCGTACCTCCTCCGCCTACCTAAGCGAGAAGATACAAAACTTTCTCAAGCGTACCGACCACGTGCAGGAGGAATGGACAGCCATGGGACGGCGCACGCGACGCCACAACAGCAGCAGCAGCAACGCCAGCGCCACAAATGGAGTTGGGGGCGGTTACAGCAGTCGCTGCAGCACGCCCAGCGGTAGCTCGGTGTACTATGATGATTACGATACCATCTCGCTGATTGAGCGACAGCGTGAACGCAACAGCATGGAACGCTGCGGCTCGGTGGGGCGCACACGTTCCGCCCAAAACATATTGACCAAGGCGTTTCAGCTGTCCAAACAGCTGCCGCACACGCCAACGTCGCGTGGCAACTCCGTGGCCAGAGAATCATCGGTGGCCACCACAGCGATGAATGGAGATGATGACGATGACGATCGCACCATACGTGAGGAGGATGACAATCAGCTGGATGAGGTAGTTGCTGCTGTTAACCTTGAGCTTGTCGGTCTTTTGATTTCTTATTTAATTCCCTCTGTGCATGTGTGGGCAGTTGACATCATTTCGAATGATGACTCCGATCTGGCCATGTCTTGTCAGTTTAGAGCACATAAATATAAATGATTCTTAAGTAAACATATGGTTGAAAAATTCCAATTCCATGCAGCAACGCCGGCGCTGACATTGACAGCGGCATCCTCCGACATCGACGTCGAGGTGTTGCTAAAGTTAGCGTTTCACTTCAGATACTCGGGTCGATCTATTTCTGGATAACAACAAAATAATGCGTGAATCACGCCGTATGAATTCTTTAAGTACTAGAGGGACTTGGCGAGGGAATATTCCATAGATTCATTTCTTGTTTTTAGAGGATGACATGATTATTGAATAAAATTTATTAGTACTTAAAAATGTTCTAATGCATATTTACGTTTGAAGTCCGTATTCCAATGATCGAATCAAAATAGATGGATTTCATATATATGGTAGATAAATAATGTCGCCTTTAACTCTAGACGGTGAAATACATTT